ACTTCTATTCATTGCACCTTGAAATATATTTTTTGCTGCACCATACTAGGTCGTATGGTGCAGCAAAAAAATACATTTCAAGGGGCTGCCGTCCGTTGCGCGTTGGCGCCATGCGCGCCGGCGCATAGCAAGGCGCGGTGGCACATTGCGCGCTGCTGCCTAGTGTGCGGACGCATTCCGCGCTAGCACATTGCACGCTTGCGCCCCATCCATCTCTTCCCACGCCTCCCTTGTCTTCCCTGCCTTCCATCCCCTCCTTCCATTCTTCATTCCTCATTTTCCTTTTCACACACTCACTCTTTCTCTTATTCATTCATTCTCTAATGTCTTCGTTCACTCATTCTCCCATTCACCCACTCTCTTATATTCTCCCACTCACCCACTCTCTCATTCTCCCATTCGCCCACTCTCATTCTCCCACCCACACATTCTATCATTTTCTGATTCTCGGATTTTCTCTTTGTCTTGTTCTCCCGTTCACCCACTCTCTCATTCTCTCATTCTCTCATTCACCCATTTCTCCCGGTCTCTCTCTCTCTCTCTCTCTCTCTCTCTCTCTCTCTCTCTCTCTCTCTCTCTCTCTCTCTCCTCTCTCTTTCAACACCTCTATCTCTCTCTCTTTCTCCCCCTCTCTCTCTCTCTCTCTCTCTCTCTCTCTCTCTCTCTCTCTCTCTCTCTCCCCCTCTCTCTCTTTCTCTCTCTCCCTCTCTCTTTACTTTTCTCTCTCTACCTCTCTCCCTCTATCTCCCTCTACCCCTCTCTCTATTTCTCTCTTTCCCTCCCTCTCTTCTGCTCCCTCTCTCTCTCTCTCTCTCTCTCTGGCCCCCTCTCCTCTCTCTCTTTCTCTCTCTCTCTCTCTCTCTCTCTCTCTCTCTCTCTCTCTCTCTCTCTCTCTCGGTATCTATCTCTCTACTACCTCCCCCTCTCTCTACTACCCGCCCCCTCTCTTTCTCTCTCTCTCTCTCTCTCTCTCTCTCTCTCTCTCTGTCTCTCTCTCTCTCTCTCTCTCTCTTTCTCTCTCTCTCTACCTCTCTCGTCCCATTTTTTTACCTCTTATCGCATGAGACATTCATTTCTTCAATCCTCATTTCCATTTCGCGAGTTCTACCATGCATTATCTTCTCACCTAAACTTGTGTTTTTTTCGTTTTATCTCTTTTTTTTGCCACGAGTGTTGGTGCTTCAGGAATGCCATTAGAAAGGATCTCTGGTTTCCAACTGTGCATTTTATCTACAGTAGACTGCCACATCACATAACATGTTTCAATTGCTTCTACTTGTCGCCCTTCTTTCTCGTCATGCATTTTGGGGTCGAAGTGTTGTGTCGCTGCCATTTGCTTTGCGTTGTTGCCCTTCTCCATTCTACTACAGCTTGCTTGATACACGGGTAGTGCATTTTGTGTATGCAATAAAAAATATTGTACTGATCGTCTCGAGTAAGGTTCTTTGACTTTCCATCTTGAGTGCAGTCACTTGAACTGGAGATGATAACTGCAATATATTTTCTTGCAATCGCAAAGCGCATTGCCTAAAAAACAATTGTGACCTGTCCATTAGGCTTTCAACTTCCCCCACTTAGCTGGGGAAGCGATTGTTAGAAAGAGAGAATGAATGACTAGTGTGAGAAACCTAGAACATGTACCTGTTGGGGTTGTACTCACTAGAAGCACACACCTATGCTAGCCTATAACTTCTACATACAGCATATGTATAAGTTGACACACCCCCTAGGCTAGACAAGGGGTGGTGCTAGGCAAAAAGCACACATCTTAGGGTGGCACTTCTAGTCCAGCCACCGAGGTAGGGGTCCTGAGACCACTCAGCAAGAGTACAAGCAAGACTAAAGCAAGCCAGGGCGGCACTACTAGTCCAGCCACTAGAGGTAAGGCCACAAGGCCAGAAAGACAGGTATATATAATAGAGAGTACACAATAAGGGTCCTAAAAGGTGAATAGCTACAGGAACAAGACCAAGCTGTACACAGTGCCGTAGATGATCTTTATGCGCAAGCGCCTTAGTAAAGATATCAGCTGTGTTGGCACCTGAGGCCAAGTGAACTACGCGGGCCTGGCGACGCTGCTGTAGCTCGCGCAGGAGGAAGCACCGCAGCTAGATATGCTTTGCTCTGCCCTCAAGCCGAGGCTCCTGACACAGGAGAATCATGGCCCTGTTGTCAGCGTACAGGACCGGGGCAGAGCTAGGCCGCTCACCTAAGTCTGTGAGCAAGAAGGTCAGCCAACGGAGCTTCTATGCCGCCATGGCACCGGCGTAGATCTCAGCCTCATAGCTGGACTGAGCAACAGACGACGAGCGAGTGGATCTCCAGAGATAGCACCAGAACCAAGGCTAAAACAGTAGCCCTGCGATGACCTGAGTGTCTTAGAGTCGTCTGCCCAAGAAGCGTCTGTGTGCCCAGTGAGGACCATCAGCCTGCGTCCTCCTAGCACTAACCCCATGCCTGATGTACTTGCTAGATATCGCAAAACCCTCTTAGCGGCCGACCAGTGCTGTGGTCGGTGTCTGCCTGTGGCCACAAAGCGAGCCAGGATGCTGAGAGGGTATGTGAAATCTGGGCGAGTGCAAGTCATCAGGTACATGGGGCAACCCACCAGCTCTGCGTAGGGGCCGCTGGGCTCTACTGGCTCCTCAGGAACGGGAGCGGAGAGCCCATGGTCTACAGGTAGAGGTGTGGGCTGTGCGGAGAAGAGCTGAAGACCGAACCTCTGAAGGACCTGACGCACCAAGTGTGACTGTGTCAAAGTGATGGTGCGTGCTGCTTTGTCCCTAGAGATCTGCAAGCCAAGATAGCGATGCAGCTCTCCAAGGTCAGTGCATGTGTGTCTCTTCAGCAGCTCGGCCTTCACGAAGGCCAGTGCGTCCCTGTGAGCAGTAGCGAAGACCAGGTCGTCTACGTAGACAAGGATGTAGAACGGAGTCTGGTCGGAACGCACAAACAGCGAGGGGTTAGCAGAGGACGGAAAGAACTGCAGGTCTGCTAGCGTGGCACGCAGCATGTCGTGCTACTCGCGGGGAGCCTGGCGCAGGCCGTAGACCGGGCGCCTGAGAAGCCACTGGGTCCCAGGGGGAAACGTACCAGTGAAGCCTTGTGGTAGGCGCAAGTAGACCTGCTCGTGTAGGCTGCCCTGAAGAAAGGCAGTAGAGAAGTCGAGGGAGTGAAGCTCGTAGTCACGCTGTGCTGCTACGTGTAGCAGTGCCCGAAGAGTAGTCATCTTCGGGGTCCGGGCGAAGGTCTGGAAGAAGTCAACCCCCTCGCGGTGGCTGAAACCTCTGGCCACGTAGCGTGCCTTGAAGACATGTGGCTCTCGAGGGGGGCGCTTCACCTTGAAGAGACACCGACCATCGACTACGTTCACCCCAGGCGGGGGAACTGCGTTGACGTAAGTGCTGGTGGACCTCCAAGATGCCATCTCCTGCTCCATGACAGCTATCCACTGAGAGGCCCAGGGTCCCGAGGTGGCCTCAGCGTAAGTGCGAGGGGTCGAGATGTCGAAGGCGTTTGGGTCACCCTCTGGGACTTGGAGCATGAAGCAGAGATGGGGAGCGGCCTCGAAAAGGAAAGCAAGCTCGTACTGCCTGTCCTCTAGAACGTCACTACTAAGGGCAGGTGCACCCCCGACGGACGGAGGACGGGCAGGGTCAAAGACCAGAGCGGTAGCATAGTCAAGGCGGCGGGTAGAGGCGAAGTCAACAACAGTCGCGACAAGCGCATCAAGGCGCGAGACAGGAACTGTCACAGGATCGAATGTGTCGAGGAAAGGTTGCACTATCGATCAGTACAAGGCGCTTTCATACTTCCAAAGTACATCAGGTAACCAGGTTTATCTTATCCTAAAGGAATAGACCCTTCTAGAATATAGAATCACCTTGCGTTTAGCCATGCGAGGCTATTGGCTTTAAGGGATTACGGCACGATTACGCCAGATAGCGCACCAGTACATCCCAAGCCTGGTCGGTGATATAATTATAATAGCAGGATAAACCAAAGGTTAATGGAAAATGGAGAATAGGAAATCAAATGAGATGAGATAAAAAGAGGAATGAAAATAGGAAGGAAAGAGAAGAAGGAACAAGTGGTGTAACAGGGTCGTACTCTCACACTTCCCCCCCTCAATGCTCGGTGGTAGAAGTAACACCCTGCTTGACAAGGTAGTCATGTAGAGGACGACGGGCGTTACCCATGTCGGTCTCAGGTACCCAGCTGTCCTCAGAAGGATCATAACCTTCCAACGGATGAGAAGCTCCGCGGTGCCATTCCGACGACGGCGGTGTGCAAGCACGGATTCGACCTCGTACTCGTGTTGATCATTGACGAGGACGGGCGGCGGCGGCGGCGGTTGGCGTCCAGAGAAGACCGTGTTGGGATCTCAGTAGGGCTTCAAGAGTTGGACATGGAAGGCGTTGTGAGTCTTCCAGGTAGCTGGCACGCGTAAGCGGAAGATAACCGGAGTGACATGTGCTTCAACGAGAAAGGGTCCGCAGAAGCGAGGTCGCGGTTTGGATGGGAGATGGCTGATGTCAAGATTGCGCGTGTCGAGTAGTACTCGGTCTCCCACGGTGATGGTGTGGTCTGTGCGGTGGCGATCGGCTTGGCGCTTCTGTTGTTGCTGAATATCGAGAAGGCGCTTGTGGGTCCGTTCCCAAAGTTTGTGCATGGTCGTGATGAAATCATGAGCCGTTTGGACTGTGGCTGGTATGGTTGGCTGTTGAGGTGTGAGTGGGTGGCGTCCGTAACAGAGGAAGAACGGCGTCTGTCCAGTAGCGGCGTGAGTAGCATTGTTGTAGGCAAACTCTAGGACGGGAAGATTCAAGTCCCATTTGGAGATGTCGTCCTTGCAGGCTGCGCGGAGGAGTTGCTCCACAATTTGGTTGAGGCGCTCGGTCTGTCCATCTGTCTGCGGATGGTAAGTGGATGACATGGCAATTTTGGTTCCGAGAAGAGACATAAGTTCCTTCCAGAACTTGCAGGTGAACTTGGGGTCTCGGTCGGAGATGAGTGTGGTTGGAATGCCATGTTGTGAGATGATGTAACGAACGAAGAGTTGTGCTGTCTCCTCGGTGCGTGCCGTCGTGTGTGCCGGGATGAAGTGTCCCATTTTGGAGAACTTGTCGATGAGGACAAGGATCGCATCATGAGCGCTGGTGGTAGTTGGTAGCCCGGTAATGAAGTCTAGGCTGACCACTTGCCATGGCTGTTCTGGGACAGGAATAGGCTGCAGTAGTCCCGCCTTTTTCTGCTTGCTGCTCTTCATCCGTTGACATGTATCACACGAGGTGACAAACTTCTGAACATCCTCTGCCAAGTGGGACTAGTAGTAATGTTTTGCGATACCGGTGAGCGTCTTGTTGCTACCGAAGTGTCTGGCGTATAGGACGTCGTGGTATTCTTCGAGTAGTAACTGGCGCAAAGGAGGGTAATTGGGTACCCAGATTTTTGTTGATCCTTTCCGGTACGCGATGTCACTGTCCCACTGTAGCAAATGTCGCTTTGCTGCCTAGGGAATTTCTGGGTCGATGGTATACCCATGTGTGAAGAGTCCCTTGAGTGGTGGGTTCATCCCTTCAATCTGAATAGCGGCAACGTGTGCGGGCCGGCTAAGAGCGTCTGCTTTGTTTTTGTGGCCGGGCTTGTACACGATGTCGTAGTGGAAGTTTGTTTCGAGGAAGTCGATCCACCGGACCTGCTGCCTGGAAAGGCTTGGCTGCGTCTTCAAATATTTTAGGCTACAATGGTCGGTGTAGACGGTCGTCTTGCGTCCTTTGAGATAACATGTCCACGTTTTGAAGGCGATGATAATAGCAAGGGCCTCTTTGTCGTGTATCGGGTAGTTGAGTTATGCTCCATGTAGTTTCTTGCTGAGGTAGGCAATTGGTTGCAGTACATTCCCCTTGTCTTGCATCAAGACTGCTCCCACTGCCTGGTCACTGGCATCAGCTTCGATAACGTAGTCGCGTTCGGGGTCTGGCAAGATGAGTACCGGTGCGGACGTGAGTGCTTGTTTCAGCTGCTCCACGGCATCCTGGTGCTTCGGTTCCCATTTGTAGGGCGTGTTCTTCTTCAGCAGATTCATGAGTGGTGCTGCGAGTTTCGCATACTGTGGCACGAACCTGTTGTAATAATTCGCGAAGCCTAGGAACTGCTGCAACTCCTTCACGTTCTCGGGCGTCTTCCACGTACGTACGGCTTCAACTTTCTTGGGGCCGACGTGAACTCCTTGAGCGCTTACGATATGTCCAAGGAATTGGACTTTCTCGAGGGCGAAATCGCTCTTGGATAGTTTGACGTAGAAGCGTTCTCGTCGAAGAATCTCGAAGACGCATCGTAGGTGCTCGACGTGCTGCTTCATGTCGCACGAGTAGATGAGGATGTCGTCCAGGTACACTACCACGCACTCGTCCAAAGGTGGTCGTAGAATGTGGTTCATTTCTGCTTGGAATGTTGCTGGTGCGTTGGTGAGTCCGAACGGCATTACCAAATACTCGTACGATCCATACCGAGTTCGGAAAGCAGTTTTGTGGATAGAGTTGTCCGCCATCCGTATCTGCCAATATTCGGATCGCAGATCTAGTTTTGAAAATACCGTAGCTCCCCGAAGCTGGTCAAGCAGCTCATCGATTCGCGGTATCGGATATTTATTCTTGATGGTTTGCTTGTAACGAGCTCGGTAGTCGATGCACATGCGCAATCTTCCGTCCGGTTTCGGTGTGAAGAGTACTGGGGCACCGTATGGTGAAGTGGATGGTTGGATGAGTCCTTTGGCTACGAGATACTCGATCAGTTTTTTCATGTCGGTCAGCTCCGTAGAGCTGAGCCGATAGGGTGCTCGGAAGGTCGGCTTCGAACCCGGTTCCTCCACGATCTCGTGTTGATGCGTTCGGTATGGCGGTAGCTCATTTGGGAGGTCGTCGGGAAGAATGTCTTGGAACTCCTTCAGTAAGTCCTTGATTTTTTCTGGAGGTTCCGAGGCTTTCTCTCCGTCATTCTCCACCTCTGTTGCTATCGCCAAGAACCCGGTGTCAGTTCGTTTCACCTCCTTCTCGAATCTGGCGAGTGTCTCCACTGGGATATCTCCTGTATCGTCCCAGTTGGGTAGCTGGACTCTCCTTCCTTTGTTGTAGATGCTTGCGGTGCGGTTTAACCAGTTGATCTCGGGGTTGAATTTTTTTAGGAAGTCTCGCCTGAAGATCAGGTCAAGCCCTTTTATGTTGGTGATGGGGAGAGCAAGTTTCCAGCGCAGTGGACCGATTTGTAGATGTAGCACTGCTTCGCCGTACACTGGTAACTTGCTGCCGTCCACCATCGTTGCAGAAAACGCTGATGGCTTGTACTCTTCTCGAAATCGATCGATGGTTGCCTTGTCGTAGACGGTGTGCGATGCTCCGCTGTCCACGAGTGCTTGGAGGCGTCGTCCTTTGCAGATGACCTAGAGCACGAGGGGCAGGCGTTGCTCGGAGTACCCAAAGATAGTTTCATTGATTGGGTCACAGGGTACATCTCAATATTCGTTGCTTCCTACTCCTGAGTTGGCAGCTGGCCGAGGCTGCTTGGAGAAAGGCTCTTCTCCAGGGCCCGGAGTTTCCTTGACGACTGTTCGTGCCGTTGACGAAGTTGCCGAGTTGGATGCATCCGAAGAAGAAGGACTTCGGGGTTTTTGCAGCTTCTTGTAGACCCCCAGTTTCCTTTTGAGCTGCTTCAGCTCCACCGACGTCTTCCCTGGGGAACGGGTAGTCGCTGTGGGCTGGTGTCGTGAGAGGACGTTGACTCCGTGGAAAGGTCGGCTTCTTTCCACACTCCTTAATTTTTTCCCCAAGTTGTCCGGTACCAGTATGATCTCCACAGCTGTCTGCTTCTTTTAGAGTCCCTCCCGAAATTTCTCCAAGGCTCTAGCTCCTAAAAAATCATAAGTTTTCATTAAAGCATATTTGTAAGATAACTTTAACGAATCCTTATAATTTCTTGGGTCTTCAAGGAGTTTCCCCGTCTCGGCAGAGTCTTTTTTCGCGGAGATAGATTTTCCCTCGGGGATTTCCTCTGGCAAAGACTGGTCGTGGGGTGGAGATTTGTCCCCATCATTTTCTCCTATTCGTGTCGAATCAGCTGCGTCGAAGTTGATTTTTCCGGAAGTCCGCGGCCGCTTTCGGATATTTTCTTTTTTGCCAGCTAGATCCGCAATCACTGGCGAGTCCCGTTTTTTGGCTTTTGATTGGCCGAAGGATTTCCGCCACTGTTGCGTGCCCAATACTCAGCGCGTGCGGCTTTCATTTTGTTGCAGTCGAAGATTCGAAGACCCGGCACCCCGCAAAAATCACACGTGTAGTTGGTGTTTTTCGGACGTGGCCGCCCCTCGAACCTGTCGACTTCCATCGGGTCGGCGAACGTGGTGTGAGCCGAGCGGTCGCCTTGTCGCGTACTGCCGACGTGCGTCCGTCGTGTTCCGGTGTTGACCATGTCGAAGCGCTCCGCTGCCGAAACGACATCACTATAGCTCGCGTAGTTTGATGCTGCCACTTGTCGTTTGACTTCGGTCTTCAGCCCGGCGAGGTATGACTGTACTTTTTCCCTTTCGGTCAGGTCAGGAATGCGGTTATAAAATTCCTCCATCTGCTGCGTGTACTGCGCTACACTCCCAAACTGTCGATGGCGATGAATTTTTTCGCGGGCAAGGAAACCCGAATTTATCAGCTCAAAACGTTTGAGCAGGTCGCTGCGGAACTGCTGCCACGTGGCTTCACCGTGGATGAAGGTACTGTTGCCGCCAATCCACTCGAGTGCCGGCCCTTGCATTAGTGTCGCCGCGAGTCGTACGCGTTGACCGTCCCAGGCTGGCGAGCTCCATCCGACGGTTGCGAAGTAGATCTCCATGCCAGCGATCCATCTGCGGACTTCGGAGTTTCGATCGCTCGGATCGAACGGCTCAGGTGGGCGCGGTTTTGGAGCCTCGAGAAACTGCTGCGACTGCTGCGTCGTCGCCGTTGTCATTTCGTGTTGCGTGCCGGCGAGTTGAGTTACTCGCTTGAACTCGTTTCGCCAAGCTTCGCGATCCACTCGCATCTCCTCCTGAAGGTCTGCGATGCGCGCGAAGAGCTACTTGGTAACTTCGGCATTGTCAAAGTTCGCCATCCTGTTCAAAACACGCACGGAGGGGGTAATTCAAAAAAACGCAGAACTGGTGCTTACCAGAATCGGCGTCGAATTGGTCGCCCCTAGCGGTTTTTCGAGGCAGGATCCCCCGCTGCTGCTGCTTAGCTGAGCACAGTCGAGTGAGAAAAGCTCTGATTACCAAGTGTTACAGGATCGGATGTGTCGAGGAAAGGTTGCACTATGGATCAGTACAAGGCACTTTTATACTTCCAAAGTACATCAGGTAACCAGGTTTATCTTATCCTAAAGGAATAGACCCTTCTAGAATATAGAATCACCCTGCGTATAGCCACGCGAGGCTATTGGCTTTAAGGGATTACGGCACGATTACGCCAGATAGCGCACCAGTACATCCCAAGCCTGGTCGGTGATATAATTATAGTAGCAGGATAAACCAAAGGTTAATGGAAAATGGAGAGTAGGAAACCAAATGAGATGAGATAAAAAGAGGAATGAAAATAGGAAGGAAAGAGAAGAAGGAACAAGTGGTGTAACAGACGGGTCTGTAACAAGAGAGGCAAGAACCCGAGGGACAATGGGACGAGCGGCACGGAGGTAGTCGGATAGCGGGGGAGGTGCAGCAACAAGCGACGAGGGAGGAGGCGACGGGAGGAGGGGAGGACGAGACGAGTGGGAACGGAGCAACATAGGGTGGGAGCGCAGGACAGGAGAGACGGGACGAGCACGTGAGGGACGGCGAGACCAAACGTGGGACGGAGGTGTAGTGTCAGGAGGCAGCGGAGGGGACGCATAAGGGGAACGAGGAGGAAGACGGGCCGGCGATGAGTCCAGCGGCGGGAACACAGGGCCGGAGACAGGAAGGTGAGAAGGTGGTGGGGGAGACACCGGCGAGCGGTCGGGAGAGGGAAGGCCGAGCAGGCGAAGAGCGGAGACCGGCGGCGACGGCTATTGCAGCGGCTGGTGCTTGACCCGCGGACCGGCAGGGGCACGACGACCACCGGGAGAACACTCAACGGCAGCACCCCCAGAACCAACACCCCCAGAGCGAAAACCCCCTCCAGCACCAGCGGCACCCCCAGTCCCGCCGGGATAGACCACGCCAGGGGCCGCAGGACGAACACCCTCGTCAACGCCAGCACCCCCAGAGGCCAAGAGCGGTATCGGCGGCGGCGGCGGCGACGGCGGCGGCGGCTGCGACGGCGGCGGCGATGGCGGCGGCAGCAGCTGCGACAGTGGAGGCGGAGACACCGGGGAAGGGGGAAGTGGCAAGGACGGGCCGGGGGGAACACCAGAGTCAGCAGACTCCTCAACAGGGACAACCGACGGGAGGGGAGTGACATGGGAGACATCAGACGGGGCAAGACGAGGTGGGAGTGGAGCAGGGGCTATCGGGAGAGAGGGAGCAAGGAACAAGGGGGGGGGAACTGGGAGACCTCAGTAAGGGAAGCGACGGTAGAAGGAGACAGACTCGTCAAAGGTGACGTCACGAGAGTGAAGGAAGCGGTGAGACTGCGGGTGGTAGAATAGCCAGTCAGACGAGTCCAGGGGGAAACAGAGGAAGACACAAAGGACAGTGCAGACAGTGAGCTTATCAGTGCCAGAGGCACGAACGTGAGCAAGGCAACCCCAGACGTGGAACGCAGACGCGTCACCGGGGGACCTGGTCCAAAGGAGGGTCGGTGAAACCTGCGGCCGCTGGGAACGTGGCCACAAGTTAAGCTGGTGAGCAGCGTTGCGGACAGCGAACGGCCACAGAAAATGAGGGGCATCGGCATGAATCATGGAGGTACGAGCAACCTCCATGACCAAGCCGATGCGGCGCTCAGCAACCCCATTCTGCTGTGGCGAGTTCGGCAAGGTGTAAGACTGCGTGATGCCCTCTGCACGACAGAACTGTCCAAGCCGACCAGAGGCGAACTCGCCGCCACGGTCAGAGTGGAGACACAACACGGGGAGACCGTGGTGAAGACGCGCAGCCACAACCCACGGGAGAAGAACGTCGGGCACGTCGGCCTTCCGCTCCAGGGGAAACACCGTGGTGTAGCGCGTGTAGTCGTCGACGAGCACAAGAAAGTAACGCTCACCGCGCGGTCCGGGGACGGGGGCTGGGCCCCAAACGTCCAGGTGCAGGGTCTGAAGGGGAGCAGTAGCAGGGCGAAGCGAGGAGGAGTGAGAGGCACGGCGGAGCCGGCCCTCGACGCAAGGCGTGCACAGTGGCGCAGTCAAGGGGGGAAGTGCGGGGAGCGACTCGGGGAGGCCTAAGACAAACTGTGCTGAGACATGTGATGCAGGCGCGGGAGAGCAGGGTGACCTAAGCGGTGGTGCCACAGAAGGGACGGGTGTGTGAGGGACCGACACGAGCAAGCTACAGCGACCTGGGAGAACGCACCAACCAGGGGGGAAGCGGTGTCGAGGGTAAACAGACCAGACTCCGGGTCCCGGGGGAACGTCGCAAGGGAGGAACCTGAGATTGCCTCGGTACAGACAGCGAACCGCTCGTGCCCAGGGAACGTAGTGGTGACGCCGAGGTCCTGAAGACGGCCGACACCAACCAGGTTCCGGGAGAACGGAACATAGAGGCCTGTAAAAGAGCCCGAAGGAATGGCTGGACAGGGAAGGGAAGTGGAGCTGCGAGCGACGATAGGACCCGCAGAGGGGTCAGCAAGAGCGACAACAGCAGGCGCAGCAAGCGGCGTGAGCGTGGAGCGGTCGCGGAAGAAACAGGCAGAAGCACCAGAGTCGAGAGTGAAGGACAGCGAGGCAGTAGCGGAGGCCGGGAATGGAGCCGGTGCAGACCCTAGGCTAGGCAAACTAGGCAGTCCTATGCCTGGCGAAGCAGGGGAGGCTAAGCTACACAAGGGTGCAACACCTAAACTAGAGTACACAGGGTAATAAGATCCAGCAACACTAGAAGCGTCAGCATACAAGGCATGCAAAGCAGCACCTATCTGATCCATATCTAAATCAAAGATTGGCACGCCCTGGCGAAGTAGGCTGTGCCAATCGGGGAGGTCCGGGTCCGGGCCAAAGCGACGACGAAAGAGATCGTCGAGGCGGCGGAAACAGCAGGCAGTCGGGTGCGGGCGGCGGCACAGAGTGCCGCGGAGAGGCCCGGTCTAAAGCTGGTACTGGCAGGTCACACCAACGGAGCTGCCGGTAGACGCCAAGCTGCGCGGGCCGACATCACGGCCACCACCTACGGAGATGCCGGGCCAATCCGGGGGGAGACGAGCCCACGGCGGGGGCTGGGACAGCTGCTGCGACTACTGCGACGGCTGCTGCGGCTGCTCCTGCTGCTGGGCCATCTCGCGGGTCAAACTGGAAGAATGTGGGGGAGCGCATCGTCAAGAAGCACATCCAACACGCTGTGGTGCGTCAGC